AGGCGTGCGCCACCACGCCCAGCAGAAATATAAATTTTTAAGATCTCCAAAATTTTTCTTTAGTAATACCACTACCATTAGCCAATCAGTGTTTCAGGGCCACCCATCCCTCACCAAAGAATCAAAGTTCTGATGGTGTGGCATAAGTTGGTCCATCTGCAGCTCCCAACGCGCTTCTTCAATGCCTCAGCTGAGCGCTCTCCCAACTCAGTAACACAGAGGTCATCATTCACATTTGGGCCTCAAACAATTACACACCACTGGCAAATTTTCTAGGAATAACTAAAGCTTTCTCTGTCTCTTATTTTCTTTCTTTTTTTCTACAGCACTGGGGATTAAACCCAGGGCCTTCTCAATGAGCCCATTTTTTGCGACAAGGTTAAGGCTGTCCTTGAAATTCTCGTCCTTTTGCCTCAGCCTCCCAAATAACTGGAACTACAGGAATGGCCCACTGCACACAAAATAAGCTTTTTTCTTTTTCTTTTTCTTTTTTCTTGAGACAGGGTCTCACTATGCAGAGACTCAGGCTGGCCTCAAAGGCATGATCCTCCTGCCTCAGCCTCCCATGTATGAACTTTCCATTTTAAATCCACAAATACCAAGAGCCTTATGAATCAGTAAGCCACTGGGAAAATTGTAAGATTACCTAAATTAGTATGGATCCAGCAGAAATGGAGAAGAGACAGAATTAGATGTCAAGGTGGTAGAGCTAATATGATCTAATGATTCAATGGATAAAACACGAAGAAAAAGAATTCCTACCAGATGTGGTAGTACACAACTATAATCCCAGCTCTCAGGAAGCTGGGGCAGGAGGATCACTGCAAGTTTAAGGCCAGTCGGGGCTTACATAGTGAGTTCAAAGACAGCCTCAACTACATAAAACCCTGGTTTTTTTGGCTGTTTTTTTTTAAAAAGGCCAGGCATGATGGTGCATGCCCATAATACCAGCACTCAGGAGGCTGAGGTAGGAGAATCTCTCAAGATTGAGGCCAGCCTGGGCTACAAAGTGAGTTCAAGGCCAGTCTGAACTGCATAGTGAAGCCTGTCTCAAAAAGACAAAAAAAAATCCTAAATTTCTCTAGTCCATGACTTAGTAGATAATAACACATTAATGAAAATATAAGAGCAGTAAATGTGATTAAGAAGGATTCTCGGTTCATGATAAAACACAGCAATCAATAAAGCATCTACATTCTTGTCTATTTTAGTCAAGACATCTATTCAGGGAAAGATGGTGCCTCTCCAATTCCACAACTACCACTACTTATCAACCTAAATTTATAACAGAAAATCATTTCACTGGAGAGCTTCATAAACTGTCTGTGAAACAAGCTACTTAACAAAACCAGTAACAAATGTGCTTTCAGAACAAAAGCTGCTCCACGAAGACAAGTAACATTAATCTATGCACTCTTTCTTTATTCTAGTTTTAAGACATAGGTGATTAAAGGGGAAGCAGAACAACTAAAATGGATTAGTACTCGGATATGAAGCTGCCGTTAAGTAGGACAGCCACATTTGCTCAGGAAAGACCAGACCTTGGCAGACTCACAGACACAAAATCCTAGAACAGCCTGAAACTATTACAACTTATAAGGTCAAAAACTTTTGGATGTTTACAAACATGGTTTATCCCTTATGGAATGAGAGAAATTCAACACCCTAAGAGAAGGATCATTGAACTAAAGACCACATCCTAGACACAATGTCAATACAAGGCTCAGTTTCAAAGCCATGACTATATTGTGAATAGCTGCATGGATCCACTAGAAATCAAAATTCTTTATCCCTCTAAGGCAGTTATAAATGACCAAAAGCCAATCTCTTTCACATGGTTTTGCATTTTCTGACACAATCTACACCTGAATTCTTTTTATCCAGCTATAAGACAAGAATGGAACTATCTTCTGTGTGCTTGTGCATGACAGACTTAAGTGAACACACCTTGTCATTTCACTGAGATTATGACAGAACCTGGCTTCTCTTTTCCTCTTGAGCTTTATCTTATCACACATCCCTCAGGAGGAACACTCATCCTCTGCCACCCACTGCCTGTAGTTTAGCATGATATTACAGTTTAGGGTATCACTACACACAACACTGTACTGCTTCCATATCTCTGCTCGTATTTTTTTCCCTTTCCTTACTGGTCTACCTACCTAACTTATACTAACCCTTCAACACTCAGCTCAGAAGTCCCTCTCTCTCTCTCTCTCTCTCTCTCTCTCACACACACACACACACACACACACACAAGCCTTCTGTGGTGGTAGCTGGTGCTCTTTCTATGAGTACCAGGCACAGTATTCACTATTACTCAGGCTACCAGACTATCAACCCTTGAAACCAGAGACTGTGTTCAGTATTCATGGATTTACTGATTTATGATCTAAAGGTCATACATAATTCACTTAAACACATATGCAGTTCACCTAATCACAGTTTCAGCTACTGGAGAGCTGGGGCAGGACAGCTCAACTCTTAGCTTGTACAGAGGAACTAAACCAGTAGGACCCTAACTGGCCCACCACTGCCCTGGTGTAGAACTTGATGGACGCTCACTAGAAAGGGATTCAATGTGGGCTTCAAATCATGAAGTCTAAAGTTTTAACCTCTCATTTACTATCTACATGGGCTTAGACAAATTGTGTAACTTTTCTAAATCTGTCTTTTTTTTTTTTTTTTGGTACCAGGAATCAAACTCAGGACCTCATGCTTGCCAGGCAGGTGTTGCACCACTGAGCTAAATCCCCAGCCCCTAAATCACTTTCTTACTTATAAAATGAGTAATATATCTACCTCAAAGAGTTTAAAAGGATTAAAAATTACTTAGAAATAGTATGTCTATGAATACTTGTATATATGCATATAGAAATGTGTGCTTTCCATACAAAAAAGTGTGACAGGATGACTTTAACAGCCTCATTTACTAAACTACCAAGTCTATAATGTTACCAGCAAGATCAGATTATTAATTACTTTTGTTTTTGGCTGGTGCTGAGGACTGTACCCAAGGCCTGATGCATGCAAGCACCGCACGACTAAACTATATCCTTAGCCCTATTAATTACTTCTAAATACAAGTATAATTGCTTATATAATTCAGAGCTGTTCAGATTTAAAATCATTAAATTATAACATAAAGCACCCAACTCAAATTAGTCATCCAAGTGGAAATCCTTTCAATGTACCATTCATTATGCACACATCATTATTTAAATGAAATTTAAACCCAATGAAGTACAAAACAAAATTGTGAATAATCTTGCCTTAAGGATTACTTTTCTAAATTACTACTGAAGTGAAGATGAAGAATTAAACTGTTTCTCTAAAACATATTGCCTTCTCTCACAGAGCTCATAGCAGATGCTGAGTAAAGTGAAGGAAAGAAAGATTGTTCTGAATTTTAAAACATTCATGCTGGAGGTATAGCTTACTGGTAGGACTTATGCTTAGCACACGTAAGCCCCTGGGTTCAATCCCCAGCACCAAAAACTAAAAACATTCAGAAACCAACACAGTTTAAATCCAAAACAAAATCAGTGACAGCTAGCTTGTTTAAACTATATTATAGGCAAACAATATAATCTATAGCAAGAAATACTGAAATTATCCATATATATTCCTTATTATTCCAAGAAAATGCTTCCCATATATTTCAGTAATTAACCCATAAATACTAGTCATAGGACCAAAACTATCACTGGATCTATGCCTAGTACAATCAGATCCAAATTATTCAGCCAACAATTTCACAAAGAGTGGCAGAGCTAGGAGCCCTCAAATGAGAAATGCTCCAAAACAACCTCAGGCTAAACCTGATGGCACACGCCTGTAATCCCAGCACTCGGGAGGCTGAGGCGGGAGGATCACTGAGGGGTGAAGGCCAGCCTGGGCTACAAAGTAAGTTCAAGGCCAGCCTGAACAGCATAGCAAAACCCTGTCTCAAAAAGACAAAAACAAAAACAATCTCAAGTTTTCTTGCTTTGATACATACAAAATTTTACATATGCATATATATATATATATATACATCATTCCCTCACTTACCTAGTATAGTACTTTACAATTTCTAAACATTTTCATAGTTTCTCATTTGAGCATCATAATCACCCTATGAAGCAGACATGAGAGATATTAAAGCTCCACTTAACAGATGAGGAAACTGAATCTAAGATAAACTCACTACCAGGTAAATATTGTTTCTACTATAAGATAACTTTATCCATTTTTGTTAATGTGCCACAAATCCTTGAAGGCAAGACTATAGGAAAGAGGCCAGGTGTGGTGATACATGCCTGTAATCCCAGCACTCAGGAGGCTGAGGCAAGAGGACTGCTGTGAGTACAAGCCCAGCCAGGGTTACATAGTGAGACTCTGTCTCAAAGACAGACCAAAAAAAAAAAGACAGTAGGAAAGTATCAGACTAAGAGTCAGATTAGGATCTGAATCTCATTTTATAACTTTCTATCTGTATAAGCAGAATAATTAATTTCTCAGAGCCTCAGTTTTCTCATCTGGAAAATGGACACAAGAGCATCTATATTCAAGCTTTACTATGAAGAGTAAAGGAGAAAATGTATGTAAAGGGCATCCTTGGATTAAGCTATAACAGGTCCTTTGTAAATAGAAGCAACAATTTTTATTATTTTTCTTTCCTTCAAGGCCTTGGGTATCTCATGCTAACATCTCTCCAATTCTAAAAAAGACTATTTCCCTACTGGAAAGTAAGATATTTCTTTCTGTATTAAATTCTTGGACTTCTAAACATGATTCACACCTGATTCCAAAAATGTTTGAAAACCAGAACAAGTAACACATTCAGTAGAGAAAGTATAACTTACCAACAGCTTTGCAGCTTGAACTCGAACCACCCAGGAACCATCACTGACCATGTGGCAGATTTTTCCAAATGCATCATCAACTAAGCGAATTTCTTCATTAGAGGAGGGGATGGGGACAATGCTAAATTAAAAGGGAAGAAGCCACACATGACAAAACATGAGCCTAAGGTTGTGAATGACCAATGAAAATGCATACACAGGGAATGACACTGCAAATGCTCAAACTTTGAAGTGATGCAACAAGTTCTGGCATAAATAAATCACTCTGGGAGTATGAACCAATCCTTTAGTTGCATTGCAAATTCTCAGTGTCTTAAATAAAAGTGTGCAACTTCCCCAAAGGTTCGGATATTTATGAAGAAATCAAGAACTTGGGGCTGGGAGTGTAGCTTAGTGATATATGCCTCGTAGATGTGAGCATAGTAAGGAAAAAAAAAGAAAAATCTAGTTGCTACAGTATTTTATAGCCTTAAGTTTACTATCTCTTGTAACTGAACTACTGTCAATGTAGATCTCAGAGTAAATCAATATAAAAGATACTTGCAAATGTTTCTAAAAGAGGTAGTTTCCAATTAGGTTATGTGTACTGTGTGTGTGTGCACATGTAAGCACACGTGCTGAAGTCCTAAAAAACTATAAAAGGAGCCTCTTCCTATACACAGGTTTTTATCTCATTCTGGTTTTCAGATTTTAGAAGACAGCTTAAGAAAAAAGGACAAGACATCCTAATTTCCAGAGCTTGTGTTTTTCCCTTAGGCCACACTGCCTTGCAGAAACCTAACCAACACTTCTTCTCTGGACGTGGTTATTTGCATGGTGGAAGGAGAGGAAAATGGCTTAGCAATGAACAAAAGTCAGTTTGCACTCGCACTGACCTTTCGGGATAGAGCTGACTGACAACCCAGATGAGCTGGACGGCAGCACTGCGCACCTGCTCGTAGTCATCAGAGAGCAACTTACATGCCTGCAGAAGAGGATTCAAAAGTTTATCAGCTCTGTGCCTTCCCAGGAATGCTCAAACTGCTTCAAAAGGAAGACTGGGTGATAAGGATATCAATCAAAATACTGATGGGTGGTTTTAATGTGGGCTCTGTCAGCTACTCTGGGAGTATTCTCACTAACCACCCTCCTACCCCATATCTGAAAGCAGAACCCCAGGCTAACAGATATCTAGAATTGCATCAAGCCTAGCAAAGCTCACTGGCAGCCCACAGTACTGCTCTCACAGATGCAAACACCAAGCATAGGGTTTTTCCCCGTCTATAAAATCAAAGCACACATTTCTGTTCATGTTGGCTTGAGAGCACTGGGCCATTTCAACCTATTCACTCTTCCTGAGTGTCCCCAATCCCCCTAGATAATAATGACTCCAAATATCTACTCCAGCTCAGATTTCTTCTGAGCTCCAGATCTTTATAACTATCTATGGCCTGGAGCTCTGCTCATGGACGTCCCATCAACTTTCAAACTCAATATAACCTGAAACAAATTCTACCATACACTGTATCTTGAGTCCTCTACTATCACTCCATCTTCACTATTTTGAGGCCCTTAACATTCCTTGCCTGCAATACATAATACACTCTTATGCTACCAAGCATCCAAATCAGCTGAATAACTTTCTTTCCTCTCAGTCCTTCTTCTGCAAGTATCCTTTAGTTACTTGGCTTCCTACATTATTTTCCTACAGGGAGGAAAGGTGACAGACACAAATACAAGCATTCTGGACCATTCTACTTCACCTTGTGAAAGAATAAATTTAGTTTACAAGTCACAAAGATAGGTTAACTATAATCTTCCTGATAGAATTACTATTGGTAAGCTAACAAAATCTGATCTCTGAGCATGGGTTTGGATTACTTATCTCTAGATTTATTCAGTTATTATACTAGATTGTTTATCACTAGATTCATTTAATTATTTTCTAAAAATACTACCTTCTAAGGCTTTTTGGCTAGGCTACCAATCAGCTTTTCTACAATTTCACTATGCCATTCTTTATAATACTGCTACATTTGTGTGACATCTTTTCATATAATCCCACGGTCCTGCTCGCTTCCTATAGAAAAACTAGTTTATGAAGCATGGTGCCCAAAGCTGACTTTATGTACAGTCCAACCAGAGATCAGGAAGACTACCACTTCCTTTTTTCTAATCACTATGCTTCCCTTCAAGCCCACTGGTAGCCCACATATTGCTACCACCCTCCTAAAAATCTTTTTCACACATATTTTGCTATTCAATTACATATCTCCATTTTCTTCCTGAGACGTATGCTTTGGGCATGATGCACATCAATCCTCACTAATATGGTCACCACTGTTCAGCCAAAATCCTTGTTTTCAAATTCAGAGAACCAGTGCGCCCCTCCCCGCTTCATGATACCGCCTCCCCTCCCAGACAGTAATCAATTAAAGTACCTGATTATAAACTGTTTGGTGTAATTTCAGTCCTCTTTCATGGAGCTGCAACTACATAATGAACATACATAGTTTTAAATATTTGTGGAAAAAAATCAGTATTTCCAAAGTCTCCCCTTGATCTCAGATCTTTTCCCACATTACATTATAATATGTACCCCTCAGCCATAATCAGTGCTATAAGAAAGAAACTTGGTCAAAGATTTTTATAAATCAAATCTAACCTAGACTACCTCAAAGGTATAAGGAAAATATGAAACAGTGGCAAGAAAGCTAAGAATGAGGGCTGGGCATGTAGCTCAGTGGTAAAACGCTTGCCTAGCATGACAAGGCCCTGGGTTCAATCTCCAGAACCGAAGGGGAAGAAAGGCTAACGGTGGTATATGTCTATAATCCCAGGACTTGAGAGGCTGAGGTAGGGAGTTTGAGGTCAGCCTGGGACCCTGTTTCAAAAAACAAAACAAAAGCAAAAATGGCCAAGAAACAAACTGTTAAACAGTTACCATCACTTACTCCTAAACAGCACCCTCTTCTAGTAACTTCCATCTACATGTCTGAAACATGTAAGGCACAGCAAGACCTATACCAAGTCATACTTCACATTGGGAACAGAGAAATAGAGGAGGAACCTGACTTGGTATCATATTATAAAAGACATAAGGGGCTGGGGATTTAGCTCAGCGGCAAAAGCGCCTGCCTGGCAAGCGCAAGGTCATGAGTTCGGTTCCCGGTACCGGAGAAAAACAAAAAAAAACAAAAAAAAAAGAGACATATACCCAGGTGTGGTGGTGCACACCTGTAATTGTAGCATTCTGGGAGGCTGAGGAGGGTAGCAAATTCAAACTTAGCCTGAGCAATTTAGTGAGACCCTATCTCAAAACAGAAAATAAAAAGGCTTCAGGAGGGGCTGGGGATTTAGCTCAGCGGCACAGCACCTGCCTGGCAAGCAAAAGGCTGTGAGTTCGATTCCTGGTACCGGAAAAAAAAAACAAAAAAAAAGGCCTGAGGATACAATCTAAAGGCCCAGGTTTCAATTCCTAATATGGGGTGGGGGTGGGGGGTTGATACAGCTTATACATCTGTCAGTGATACACAAGAAAGCTATTTGAAATACGAGAATATGTCTTTTAATTCTGTGAGGCCGCCACCAACACCTTCTTAAAAGTATGCATCAAGTGTATGCTGGGGGATTCAGAATGTCTCCAAGATAGCACTAGCCATCAACTTTTTAAAAAACGCACCACCAGAAGTGGCACACGTTCATGCTCCCAACTATTGAGAAGGCTGAGGCAGGAGGATCACTTGAGAGCCAGGATCTTCAGGCCAGCCTGAACAGTATAGCAAGATGTCATTTCTTCACACAAAAAAGAAAACTGTCCCGATTAGTTTCCATAATCACGTTTACCATGGCTTTAATAGCTGCTGTTCTGACACGTGGATCTTGGTCACTGAAATAATCCCCTATAATCTTCTGAACATCTCTGGCAGTTAGGCCTTCTCCATCTTTTGTGACACTTTTCTCCAGAGAGCCAAGATTGCCAAGTAATTGCAGGCATTTGTTTCTTACACCATGAGCGGTATCTGTCAGGTGCTATAAAAAGACGAAAAGAAACAAAAGCACGCGATTAAGTCACCCTTTAAAACAAGCAAAAACACAGAAACAAAAGCGCTGTGTCAACTCTAGGGATGATTTCAATCACCATATTCTCACTAGTCTGTCTAGCATCATATAGCTTGGATATTCACCTTTCCCAAAAACTAACAGTCTTTAGAAAACAATAGTCCTATTCCTCACCTATTTATATTTCCGACAGAAAGCATCTGACCTTGTGCAGAGTAGGTACTTCCAGATTTCTCTCTGGGCTGAGAATTTAGATCACTGGTAGTGCACTTTACTAGCACGTATGAGGACACGCGTGCAAACACACACACATATGTGCGCAGTCTCTGAATTGTAGTAGGCAGAATGATCAAAATATATGGTGAATGTTTAATTTTATTCCTTTACTTTGCTCTGCAACCACTGCAGCTGCAGCCCAACCCCTCAAGTAACCACTTTGAGTAGCCTCACCCTGTCAACCCACAGACCTTCGCACAGCCAATACGTATTTCTGTCCTATGCTGACTTTGGCAAAGATGCCAGATATATTTTGTTTGTTTGTTTTTTAAAGGAGGAAAGGTTTATTTAGCTCACAGTTTGTAGAGATTACAGTCAACATTCAGCTGGCTCCAAGGCAGGGTAGCTTGGAAGAGGCAGATCAAATCACAGAAAAAAAACAAATTTGTAGCAAGCAGAAGACAGCAAAAGCAAACAAGGCAGAATTGTTTTCAACAAAGGATTTTGCTTTGGGCCAGTGAAACTGAATGTGAAGACAAAGTAATGCAGTGGTGTGGAACTGACATCTGGTTCATCTAATGCAGACACTGGTAAAGTTACTGGGACCTTGGAGGACAAACAGAAATGATGTGAGTACAGTCTGACTTCCATAGCAAAATGGAATACTGGTAACACTCTAAGAACAGAAATTGAAATTGGAAACCAGATTTGTCAAGGTTTGAAATTGATACTCGATATTCCCTTCTCATCAAACAGGGGAAAGAAAAGTGATAAAATCAAGTCCTCTTATAAGAGGGAGTGAATAAACCTTGACTGTGATGCTGTCTTTGATTCACTAGACCCGCAAGCCATGGTTCAGCTGTTTGGTTATGAGGGCTAGCTTGCTGGGTACCAGATAACCTTTGTCAGTCCCAAATCGAAGCTGACAGGGAATAACCTACAGTGGTCTATGGCATTGAGGACTTCAAGCTACACACTAATGTCAGTGATGGGGAAAAAAACCTGGAGGCTTGGGGGTTGGGGAATTTAGCTCAGCGGCACAGTGCCTGCCAGGCAAATGCGAGGTCATGAGTTTGGTTCCCGGTACCAGGGGCGGGGCAGGGGGTACCTGGAGGATTGATATATCAGGAAGTAGATGAAGTTCCTGACACTTCAGTAAACCTTGCTTGGACATCAGGTACTGAAAGCAATCGTTTTAGCATTGCAACTAAAGAGCCATTGGACCCTGTTGCTTACATTTCTGCAAAGGTCAACAACTCTAGTTTAATTGGAATGTATTACACTCTGACTCTGAGGCCTGGTGTGAAGCTTACATTGTCTGGTCTGGTAGACAGGAAAAATATTAATGCTTGAATGAGGCCAAAAACTTGCGCCTTCCCTGGAATCAAAGGCTTACTCCAGCTGAAAGAAACCCCTGAGAATATCAGAAGATTTTTCCTTAATATATTTTCACTGTGGCCAACAGGCTTTTATACAACTGCCCTCCAAGAAGGTGATCAAGCAAAGGATGATCTAAACAAGAGCCATATTTTAAATATTTAGATAGTTACTTGTTAGCTGGTTTTTAGTTACCAAAACTGTAGTCATGCTATCACCTATACTTTCTTTTTTTTGGTCTTTTTGAGACAGGGTCTCGCTCTGCAGTTTAGGCTGGCCTTGAATCCACTTTGTAGCCCAGGCTGGCCTCAAACTCTCAGTGATCCTCCTGTCTAGGCCTCCTGAGTGCTGGAATTACAGGAGTGCGCCACACCATGCCTGGCTCTACCAAATTTATTTTTGCAATCAGCTGATGGAGCCAGGCGTGGTGGTACACACCTGTAATCCTAGCACTGGGAGGCTGAGGCAGGAGGATTGCTACAAATTCGAGGCCAGTCTGGGCTACATAATGAGTTCAGGGGCAGCCTGAACTCATACACCAAGACCTTGTCTCAAAAAACAACAACAGCAAAATTCAGCTGATGGAAGTATCATCTCAAACTATTTTTATGCTCTAAATATATAGTAGTGCCATTCACCTATTTCTTTAACAAATTACCCCAAACTTAATGATATACAATAATAACCATCTATTCTCATGCTGATAGCTCTAACTGGGATAACACCTCTTCAAGCTGCAGTTGACAAGTGGACTGGATGGACTCTTACATGTCTTTTTTTTTTATCTCCAGTACTGGGGCCCAAACCCAGGACCTTGCACACGCTAGGCAAGTGCTCTACTACTGAGCTACAGCCCCAGCCCTCTGCTCTATGTTTCTCTTCTCCTTGCATCAGTGAGGTAGTGACAACCTGTTCTTACGGTGATATCCACGGCTCACGCACCAGCCCCACTGACCATGTGTATTTCAGGGTTGCCACAAGTTCGGGACTAGCTTATCACAGATTCACCAGCATCAGTATCCAACCGTGAGCTGATATACAAAAGTACATTCTGCCAATATCAGGACAGTAAGAGGAGTAAACATGTACAAAACAACCACCCAGACCATCATAATGGTTGGTTGCATGCTGGGCACCTGCATGGGAGATGTTCCTTGAGTAACTTGAACTCTGCAAATCCAAAGCCGGCTTTTTCCCTTCATCAACATCCGCCCCTCCAAGGTGGGACAGCCAGGTATTTTTCTTTCATTCCCTATTTCTCCTAATGGTATCACTCTCCACAGTCACCCAGTGACCTGTACATTATTTAAATGTATTTAATTTTAAAATATATTACTCGCCAATAATGAAATAGATCTTTATAAAAATTGAAAAAAATTCTTATAGTAAAAGACACATTGCTGTTAATCCCTCAAAATATTCTCACTCGTTTCAGATACACTTGTTGCATCATTCTTGCCCCTTTCTAAAGCAGTTCTGGAAGTCCTCTTCCATGAGTGTCTTTAGTTGTGCTATTGCGGCTGCCTCCATATCCTGAATCTATTCAAAGTATTTACCTTCCATGGTCACTGTGACCTTAAGGAAGGCTGGAGACACACAGTACCGGATTCGGTGAGTAAGAAGAATGAGGACACCATAATGTTTTCATGAGCCTGACTGTCGACTGGGTGACACGTGGCAGCACCTCTCACTGTATTTTCATCACACCTCATTCACACACTCAGGAAAGAGGACGTCCAGAACTGTTTCAGAAGGTGGCAAGAGCTGGGCGTGCTAGTACACGCCTATAATCCCAGCACTTGGGAGGCTGAGGCAAGACGCTCACTGAAAGTTTCAGGCCAGCCTCAACTACATAGTAAGACCCTGCCTCGAGAAAGAAAGTGGTAAGAATGATGAGATAACTATATTTGCAACAAATAGGAGTCAGGCATGATGGTGCATGCCTGTAATCCCAGCACTCGGGAGGCTGAGGCAGGAGGATCGTTGCAAGTTCGAGACCAACCTGGGCTACAAAGTGAACTCAAGGCCAGCCTGAACTGCATAGCAAGACTCTGTCTCAAAACGGGGAAAAAAAAAGGAAATAAATAAATAGGAATATTTTGGGGATTAATGGCAACATGCCTTTTGTTTTGTACTATGTTGTTCTGTTTGTTTTTTTGAGACATGATCTTGCTCTGTAATTAGGGCTGGTCTTGAACTCACTACGTAGCTCAGGCTGACCTCAAACTCACAGCAATCCTCCTACCTCAGCCTCTCAAGTGCTGGGATTACAGGCATGCACCACCATACCTGGCAGCAATGTGTTTTACTATAATACTTTACTGTACTACTTTTCTTTTAATTTTAAAGGAGAGAAAAACAATGGTACAAAATTTCAAAACAAGATTGTAGGAGAGCAACAACGATCAGCACAGTGCATACTGCCATCCTCAAAGTAGTTCATACCACAAGATATAGGTATGAAAACCTGATCAAGCAATGCAGGCACACACCTTTCTTTTCAATGAGCTAACAGCAACTAGTAGTATAACTATCTCCACTATCTTGTGTGTATATAAATATATTGCTTTTTCCTTTTCCCTCCCTTCTTTTCTCCTTTCCCCTATTCTAGTTTCTCTTCCCTTTTGAGCAATTTTTTTCCCATTTCACAATATCTATTGTATATTTTGGGTCTTATTTACTCTTTCAGTTTCTTATACTAGAGATACATACAATATGATATTTGCACATGTGAGACATTTATTTCACTTATAAGTATGGACTCAAGTCTCATCCATTTCCTGTAACTGTCTCAAGGTTAGCCTTCTTTATAGTCAAATAGTACTCCACTGTATAATGTAATACATTTTTAATTTAAACATTCACTGTATACTTTATCTAACAAACTCTAACGTAAGATAAAAACTTTAAAAATTCTTAATATGAGACAAAAATTCCCTATGATGAATATTATCATTATGTATATCTATTTTTTTTTTTTTGGTACCAGGAATCAAACTAAAGACCTCATGCTTGCCAGGCAAACACTGTGCCACTGAGGTATATCCCTGGCCCTCATTATGTATATCTAAAATATAGCAATAAAATTTTAAAAACTGCAAAAAATAAATAAATAAAATTCTTGTTTTCTTTTTTTGAGACATGGTCTCACTATGTAGCCTGGGCTGGCTTTGAACTTGTGGGGATCTTCCTGCTTCAGCCTTCCCAGTGCTGGGATTATAGAAGTGAGCCACCACACTCAGCAATAAATTTTTCAGTATTTGTTCAGGAATATGCAAAAGTCTTAAGTGTATAGCCAAAAAAAAATTTCACAAAGTGAACACACATATAACAAACACCTACATGAAGAAATGGAACATTACCAAATTTCAGAAACA